GTAAGTAATTCTCGATTTGTATTGTTATGAGAATATTGATATGTTTTACATTACTTTCTTTCATTATCGTAATATAAGTTTATTTTACGTAACGATAATACAAAAATAGTAATATTTTAAAAATATGTCTGTTCAATTGTCAATTAAGTCACGTCGTATCGAAATATTCAATTTTCATTATTTCAATTTTATTGTTTTATAGAAATCTAAATATAGAATTCTATAACTAACATACACCTTATTTCAAGGAGGAAGGAAAATAGAATTTTTCAAACGTTAAATACAATCGTCGACGATTAATACCTATGTGGATTGATAATTAGACTAAATCTATAGATCGTACAATATGTAATGTATATATGTATATACATAGATACATATACATATGTAAACGGTCGATAATTCATGAGCGATAGCGTGCATGACCTAAATGCGCATCTCCTTGGGTATATTGCATATTCGTGACAAATGTTCGGTGAACTATGCATAACTTAATACTTACGTTCGCGCTTAACTTTTGTACATACAATGTTGAACATCCACGTATATACATTACTTACAAACACACAAACATAGATATGGACCGAGACACTATATAATGGCAAATCGATCGATGAAAAAGCTTCCTCTACGTTTCCATCGAACGTTTTATACATAAATAATGGATAACGAACGTGGATGGGCGTTTAGACATTTATAAGGTTTGCACTGTAAATAGGGCTCCACTTTCAACGACGTTTGTTTATTCGTTCACGATCAAGCGACGAAAAAAGAATAATGAAAAAAAGAGATGAAGAGTTATTAAAAGAATTCGTTCGTTTCGACTGTATATTTGACGTGAAAAAAAAAAAAGAAAAAAAAAACAACAACAACAACAACAAAGAAAAAAAGAAACAAGAAAGAAAGAAAAGAGAAAGAAGGGAAAGGAAAAAAAAAAAAAGGGAAGTTAGATAAAAATTTACTACGGCAGGTAGTATTTGGTCTAGGCTGGTAAATTTTACAAACGACGTACTCGAAACAAAGGTAACTCGTATAGAAGGTAAGAGATATATATAGAAACAGTAGAAACATGAAGAATTCTGTAGAAAAGAGAAAAACTAGGACTTGGTTGGGAAAGTTGTACCACCGAAACAAGGCATGAGAATTTAGTAGCACGCCACTGGTCACCGAGGTAATTCTCCCTCGGCTAGAAGAGAGGATCACGAAGGAATGTAGAAGAAATAGAATGAGAAAGAGAGAGAAATAGAAACAGGATTCGGACGATTTGTCAAAATCCCACGAAAGACTTATAAGTTATATACCTATCGTTGGTTACTGAAACGTCCATTCGGTTTCTTCGTTGCTTACATCTATCTCACTTTCTGTTCCGTACAAATGTGTATTTCCCTGTTTCTGTGTATATTCCTGTGTCACGAAAGCTTTTCGCCTTCTTCTCAAATATAGGTATAGATAAATACCATCACGAAGATCTGTGTGTTTTTTCTCTCTCTCTCTCTCTCTCTCTCTATATATATATATATATGTGTATATCCATATATGTGTTTATCCATATATGTTTATCCATATATGTGTATTTGTATTATATTTACTATAGCGAGTAAGACCACCACGTTCAGAGAAATTCAATTTGCGGTGAATTCACGTGGCGCGTCACGAAAATCGTTGTACCTACCGCGAACGTGATTGAGTACCGACCGTTTGTGTTTCATCATTTGCCCGCTAGCTCTTACCTTTAGCCCACGGCTATGGGTACTTTTGATATCTCGCCTCACGATTTCGAAGCTTTTCCTTCGAAAATACTTCCGTCGCGTCGACAAAAGCAACTCCCACCCTCTTGGCCTTCCCCCCGATGGATTTTATCCGAGCGTGTTTCATCGAAAATAGAAAATCGATATTTTATAGAAGGCGAATTTATCAAAATACCTTTAAGAATAATCCCATAATACCATGCAAGAGAAGAAAAGTCGTGAGAAATTTTTTATTGAAATAAATATTATACGATCACTAATAATTCAATTATATTATTAACTTTATTTAATTATATTATTTTAACCTAAGTGAATGGAACGTGAATTGAATGTTAGACATATTAGAGTATAATAATATGTATGTCAACATATATATATATATATATATATATATATATATATATATATTGACTATACTAATATACGTATATTAATATATCGATTAATAGGAGATCAAGGATAACCTAGTCAAATCTCAAAGCATGTACATATATATATATATATATATATATATATATATATATATATTATGTGTGTATGTATTTATTCAACTATCCCAAATTGTATATAGATCGTCATCGTCTGTTGTATCGCATCGCAAAATAGTAAAGGCTACCAAGTCTCGTCAACAGAAGCTTCAAAATGAATCCACGGGCCGACCTCCTCTTCCCCTCTTCGTGCTTCTTCGACCACCAACAACGCCAGCAACATCAACGGCAGTCCTTGTCCCTCATCCCTCTCATCTTCCAACCCGATAGACTCCCGCGGGTCAGAGTTGTAATCCCACGGGAGTTATTGGATTCGGTTTGATCCACTGGTCGTTCGTTTTTCCTTCTTTCCTTCCTTTCTTTCCTCTCTTTTCTTCTTTTCACTTTTTTCTTATTCCCAGTTTCGTGAAAGGAATCACTTTTTATCCCGAAAGCTAAGAAAATCGTCTCATCGATCGACTTGCATACAAAAATCTCTTGTGATTTTTTAAATTTCGAAAATGAACGTTCGATACTAACTATACGAATGCTATATCAAATATTCATTTAAAACAATTTTTTATATGATTTCTTAATGACAATTAATCTTAAAAATACGATGATATTGTAAAATTATTTTTTCACCTCTTTTGCTCTTTTTTTCTCCTTCTTTCTTTCTTTCTTTTTTTTTTCTTTTTTTTTTTCTTTTTATTTTTAGTCGAAAGATATCAAGCGTTCAAAACATTGTAGATATCAACTACGAAAGTAAGTAGAAATTTATGTAAAATTCAAGGTCATTATTCATCGAGGATTTAAAATCGTCTCGTTGGTCCGAAGGGAACGAAAGGAGGCTGTCGTCGGGTCGGATAACGTAGTTCGGATTTATACTTCTTTGAGGCCCATTTTTTAAGATAATGCCAAGTTTATGATGCCATACACGAAGCAGTTTATCGTGACCTACTTTTTTTAAATTAAACTCTACACGCGACGTTGACGATCCTATTCGTTTTAATTTCACACTTAATACACCTGCCTGCCGAGAAAGACAAAGAGACAGAGAGAGAGAGAGAGAGAGAGAGAGAGAGAGAGAGAGAGAGAGAGAGAGAGAGAGAGAGAGGAAGGGAGTAGAGAAATAAGAGAAAGTTAAAAATATGGAGATAGACAAGGAAAGAGATGTATCAGGCGTTAGTTTTCAGTAGAAAGTAGCCAATATAAATGTTTCTAAACTTTCCAAAAGATATAATAATCAACGATAATCCAAATTGAGAGACCGGACGATAACGGATTTTTCTCAAATATAGCTACGCTTTTCAATTTACCGTTTGCAAGAGCTTTGGTCGAACGGTTGTCGTAGGATTTGCTAGAAAGAAGAATAAGAAAGAAGAGTGAGAGAGAGAGAGAGAGAGAGAGAGAGAGGGAGGACAAACTCGAATCGAGAAATAGCATCTTTACGTAATGTCAAGAGAGATATTGAATCCGATTTGATACATCGCTCGTTCGTACAATCCCTCTTCCGTTTCAACGTCCATTCTTTCTTATCTCTATGCTCTCCTCTTCGCTTCTTCTTCACTTCTTCTTCTTCTTCTTCTGCTTCTTCTTCTTCTTCTTCTTCTTCTTCTTCTTCTTTTTCTCCTCCTCCTCCTCCTCCTTCTCCTCCTCCTCCTCCTACTCCTCCTCTTCCTCTCCTTCTTCTTCTTCTTCTTCTTATTCTTCTTGTTCTTCTTCTTCTTCTTCTTCTTCTTCTTCTTCCTCTTACTTTCTGAAACGAACTTCGAGAAACCGGCAAGATTGATCTACCGATTTATGGAAAGAAACTGAATTTTCGTTCGGGTCACGTACGAATTCTCCGGAGGGTCAACCTCGAATTTTGAAGCTTTAGGAATACCCGCGATGAATAATAAGATCGTAATAATAATTTATGAACGTCGATCAAATATAAATTATTCGATAGATACGCGAAGGAAGAACTCATCCGTGAGAGAGAGAGAGAGAGAGAGAGAGAGAGGGAGAGAGAGAAAATAGTATCGATTAATGATTACCGATTCGCAAACGTAGTTTCCGTGTTATCTTCTTTCTTTTCTTTATTCGTTTTCCTCTTCTCTCTTTTTTTGTTCTTTTCCTTTTTTTCTTTTTTTTTTTTTTTTTTTTTTTTCTTTTTTTTTGTTACTCGCAGATCTATAATTATCGGCTACGAGGCTACGGATTCCGTCGGTGATAATAGGAGAGAAAATTCTTTTGAATCGCACGATGAACAATCTACATCCGGCGATATCGAAGGAGACATCGTTTTAACCTTGATTTGATGTAATAACGTAGTTCTTTTATGATCATGAAAGTTATTGGATTCCCTTTGTAGTCTTCCTCGTCCTTCACCATCTCCTTCTCCACTTCCACTTCCTCCTCCCACTCTCTTCATCCCCCTTTGTTCTCCTTTATAATCCTCCTCTCCCTCTTCATTTCCTTTCTTCTTTCTCTTTGTAAAACAAGTTTGTACGAAGCGAGCTCAATCCGATGATTCTCCGCGAATACGAGAGAAAGAGAGAAAGAGAGAAAGAGAGAAAGAGAGAAAGAGAGAAAGAGAGAGAGACTACGCCACCCCTTCGATCGACTCGCACAAATCTCCGGGAGAACGTACTTCGAATTTCAAACGAGGAAATGGAAAGTTCCCGCTGCCTATCTCTAATACACGATAAAGCAATAACAGAGATACCACAGCCGACGGTAATTCGCGTGGATCGTCGAATCCATAAATTCGATTTACGCGGAATCAATTATACACGGTGTC